CTTGGTCCTGCAAATCTCTCTCTCTCCTTTTGCCAGCTTCTCAGCTACCTCCCTCTTAATCCTTTTCTCCGCGCTATCCCCTTTTTCTCTTCGCTTTTCCCCTCTCGCTCTCGTCGTTTCTAGAAGGTACCCGGCTCGTTCCATTTCTGTATGCATTATTCAGGACATATACACTGGAACGGTTCGTGACGGGCTAACTGGCGCACCACCGGAAGTTAGGCAAACGAGTCCTGAGTGGCCGTGGATCGTCGCGACTCCACGGATACACCGTCTACCGATTCCCAACGCCTTTTCCACCATTACCACCTCCAAGCTTTCGGATGAACTTTTGCAAGGAATTATCGTCCCCTCTCTACACGGTAATGTACGCGAACGGAAACGTCGCGATCGGCCAGTTCTCTCTGTGTCGATTTGTCGACTTTGATAACGCGACGTGATTCGAATACGTCGCCGAGTTTCGCGGATTTATTCCCGCTTTTAAGACACACTCTCGCCTGTCTCCGACGAAAGACACTCTTTCATCCGTATCATGGAAGCAGGAAAGGACGGAGCGTATTGTGGTGTGTAGGTGCCGGTGTTCGACATGCGTGTCGTGTTCCTCGTCTTTTTTTCCCCTTTTTTTCCTCTTCGTTCACGCGGGATCCTGTCTGGAATACCTACGTAAGAGGATATGCCGTCGTCTCGTTTGCTCGGAACACGCCGCATACGCTCAGCCGGCGTATATTCTTTTCTTGCCCCCGAGACTCGAACGTTCAACGTTCGTCTGGGATATTGCAAGCAGATACGTCTTCATCGGCGCGTTAATTGGCGGAGGTTTCTTTTCGAAAGGTATCGAATTCCCGCCGTCTTGAACTTTCCTCGGGTTGCTGGCAGGTGGGACGACGCGTTGCTCGAGTGGAAATTAGGATGACCGCGGCGGGGTACAGCGATCTCGAGTACGCGACGCAATAGCGTCAACGAAACGGAATTTTGCCCGGGTTGGAAAATCGCGCTGGAATCGGTGGATGCTATCCGGTATAGCGGATATGGCAGAGGGATCCTCTCGATTACGCGGACCGTTTATGATCCGATACGTGGAGGATGATCGGTGGTGGAACGGAGCACGAAGGCTATCGAAAATCTCGTTTTACTAGAACAGCCTGCTGGATCCTCGGACAGTGGAAGGTACAAGGATTTCAGGAGCAGGACAGGGCCCCGTTGTGCGTATCTTGGACCCGATGGCCCCGAAAACCGGTTCCGTCTGGATTTCACGTGACACGCGTTTCTCCTTTTTCGGGGATCTAAAGGAATACGGGCCTCTCGAATGTATAAACTGTATTGCATTACGATTACGAGCGGCATTATCGTACGTGTCGTAAACAGCAATTATAAGCGTCCGACAGAGGCATATTTAATCCGATGCACGCGCGTGTACGTATACGCGCTGGTGTACGGTGCACGAGACTCGAAAAAGGCCGTTCCCTTGCCCGTATCGCGCATACGAAAGGAAAGATAGACTGTTATCGCGACATTTAACCGTTCCGAAGCCCGTTTTTCCTTTCCATTCTTTCTCTTAACCTTCGAGACCGTGTAGATTCTCAAGGTGGCGCAGGAGACGAGGGGTTGGAGAACGGCGGGATAGAGGAACGAGAGAGGAATGGGATTTCTCGAAATTCACCGGAGAGAAGCTTCTTTTCATGTCTCAGTAAGCACGGCCGGAAGCTGTAAATGTTCACGCCTCGATCCGACCCCCTTTTAATTTCTGCTCGGCTGCCTCCGAATTGATAAAAATTCTACGTCACACGCAGGATGAGCACACCGAGTGGCGCGTTAATGTACCAAAGGGAGGCGTGGACGGCGTGGTTAATAACGAAATTTATAAATTCAGTAGGTGCACACTCGGCTCGCTCTTCTCGTCCGCTCGTTTTGCTCCCCTCGCGTTCGCGCGAAAACTTCCACCGCGTTTCTCGCCTCGCAACGCGTCTCCGCTCTCTGTGTGTGGCACCGTGTGTGTGCCGTGTGTGCACATCGCCACGCCGCTTGTTCCACCAAACGTGGGGCGAATCATTCAAGGTCGCGACTAGTATCGCCCAAGGTCAACGTCTAGATCTCCCCGAGTTAGCCGGCTCGATGCGCCGGGTCAATGCCCGGATTACTCAAGGTCAACGGCTGTCTAGCCCGGGTCAATGGCCTGCAGTCTCAAGGCCAACGTCCGGATTATTCGAGGTCAAGCAAGGGGAGAACCGCAAGATACGAAGAAGAAATATCCCAGCTCGCTACCGGACAATTCGACCGATCGATTCCGCGAACGCCACTCCGTTTTTCTTCCTCATCCGGCGATTCCTCTCGTCGGAGGAATCCCTCCATCCTCTGTCCCGGCACGCTGATCGCGAGATCCTCGTTTCCAGGTGACGCGAGTCGGCTAAAAAGGATCGTACTCGCGGAAGATGGAGCGCCGAACACGAAGATTTTCGAAAGCTCCGGTAATTAGAGCGACATCGGCCACCGATGTCAAGATAAGGCGTTTCGCGAGTTGGACGGTTAACAAAGGGATACCACGGGAGATGGCGAAAGATCGCGAGTAGCAGAGCAGAGTCGGAAAACTTGGACGAGGAGTCGAACGTCCCGAGGTTTCGGATATCGAGAAGAGACGAGAAGCGAGAGAAGAGAAGATCGCGAAGGAAGAAATGGCGATGATGCAGAGAGAAAGAGAGAGAGAGAGAGAAAGAGAAAGACGTAAGAGAGAAGCAGCGGCCGCGGGAGTAGGAAGTGGCGGAGGAGGAGGAGGAGGTGGTGGCAGAGGAGGAGGAAATAATAACGACCCCGACGTCGCAGTGCCGCAGAAAGGTTGACGACCCGATGCCAGGCGACGCCCTCTCTCCCCTTGCCGCCCTACCATCCCTTCTCCATCGTCCTCTGCAACCACCATCCCCCTTTTGCAGCTACCACCACCGCCGTCGGCATCCCCCACTCGCCTAAACCACCCACCTGGTACTGCACGTCGTAAGCGCATAGCGTACGTACGCCAGAGCCACCCATCCCCGTCATCCCTCTCTCTGTACGTCGCCGCCATCACCACCACCATCATCCTACGACCGTCTGGCCAGGGTCGGGGTCATTGAACGTCTATAAAGATTTTGACTCCGCGTTACTGCTGCTGCTGCTGGTGCTGGTACTGCTGCTGCTGCTGCTGCTGCTGCTGCTGTTGATGCTGCTGCCGCTGCCACCGCCGCTGTCGCCGCCGCCACCGCCGCTGCGGATGCAGGAAGCGGCTCTCTCTCCGCGGAGTACGCCCTTTTGCAAGGTGTGTAACGCAATCTGTTGCCCGGTAAGAACACGCTCGTCGCTCCTTTGTTGTAATTCAAGCGGAACGATCGATATCGGAATTATCGAGCTATCGGGTTTTCGCGGGACCGTCTCCAGGCTAGTCGGAGAACAACGATTCGAGGGATGATGAACGCTCGATGGCCCTGGAATTTGGAGAACGTAGGAGTTGAATGCCCGTGGAGAATTTCAGACCTGATAACGGAGACGCGTGGAAGCTGGAAGAACGAGAAGGAGTTCTTCCGAGGAGAGAAAACAATTCGTTCTAGATATCCTAACGAGAGGAGCGATGGAGCAGATGTCGGGGAAAATTCGAGAGAGTTGCACTTTTACAGGACTCGAGTATTCTCTCTCGTAGCACAGGACGAGAATTTGAGAGTTTGAGAGAAAGAATGAAAGAAAATGGCGAGAACAAAAGAAACAGGCGCAAACGTTTGCTCGGGGTTGAAGGAAATTTTCGTCACCCACCCTCCCTCCCGCCGTTCCGCCCACCCGTCGTGATAGGGGGTGGAACGGTGCAGATCGGCGCGTCTTGCCAGGGTCAGAGGTCATTGAACGTCGGTAAAGATTTCGACTCCGGCGATGCTGTTCCGCAGTAAATAGGCGTGCGTAGCGCTCTCCGCTCTCCCACCGACATCCTGGCCAACCAGACCAGGAGTGCTCGGGTAAAGAGGGGTCACGGATACGAGACACCCTCTTCGCGATACACACCCTCGTTCGTGTAATCCCTACAGGCTACGTGAATGCCATTACGGGCCTAGTAAACCACAAGATAAAAACAAGAATGACATTCTTCTTACGAATATAAATTTTCTACGATGACCGCGAATGGATGACGATTTGCCCGTTCGCGTGTTTCGAATCTCAGGCTACGCCTGTGTTCTCACGGGTCACGCCTATCCGGAAATTTCTAGCAACTTCTCTCGCTTTTCGAATTGACCGTCCTACTCGAATACGTGTCGCAACGAATAGGAGAGAACAGGCTATGGCACGTTACGCGGACTAGTATATCACCGAGGGAAAAAAATGGAAGAAAATAAAGAACGTAAAGGCGAGATGAAACGTCACTTTTTAATAGGCTAAACGATTTTAATATTATCCGCGAGGGTCGTACGATAGGAACGCCTACCACGTAAACGTGGGCCCCGTTTACGCAAGTGCTAACCGACACAAGTACAACGGACACCATCGTCCACGCACAGTCGCGCACGTACGAGCACGTGCTTCGCATTAATATCGCCGTTGGTAACTTGTCGCTACGAGATTCGTGCCAATAAGAAACGCCCGAAGAACTTTTCTTTTATGCCTCGCTTGATTTTATTTTTTAACCGTATTGGACACAACCGGCAAATACAAGGTCCATCAGCATTGTCCGCTTTTATTATATTAAGGAATCCCTCGTTTCGATATAGTAATTTTCCGCTCGTACAATTCGTACCGGAAAATAATATCTTCGCTGATAAATGATTTATGAAAATATTTGTTCAATGTTTCGCATCGAGAAGATGCTTGCATCATTCCTTCTCCTACAACTTACTTTATAATTTAACGTGCGTTGCGCAAAACGTTAATCGGCACTCGCGTCGAGAGATATTATTTATTTGTTTACCGCGAATTTTAGCGTTAAAAATACACAATGTGCCCGAACATTCGATAACGTTTTACTCTTATTTTGGCATGCGATGTAAAAAACTCACCTTGCTAAAGTATCCGACCGTGTGACAACCTTCAGAGTCGCCAATCGTCATCACGTAGAAAAGAAAAGGCTCGACGTCGTAGTACAACGTCTTGTGGTCCAAGAAGAACTTTGCCAGCAAGCAGAGATTCTGGCAGTATTGCTTGTAGCGTTTCCCGTCGACTTCCCATACTCCTATCTTGTCCTTCCTGTGCGAGAAACAAAATACGAAATATTTAGAGAAAAGATATATGCATAAGACAAAATACATATATAGCTTTTGCATCCGTTTACTAACCTATAAACTTCGTGTCCGGGCGGATGTCTCCACAGACATTTCTCTCTATGCCTTCTTAAAACTTGACGACTTTTCGCATATCGCAAACAATATTCGCAGAGGTACAGTTTTGGCGCGCGACTAAATTCTTCTGGATAAGGACTTTGGTACCACACTTCCATTTCCCATTTTCCCATTTCAATGACTCTCGTGCCGCCGCCATTTCTACCTTCGCCGTCATAATCTAACTCTTTCAGTTCTTTCTCCTGTAAACAAAAAGCATTGAATAAATCGTACGATAGAAAGGAAAGCAAAGCACATCCTTCCACTTACGATCTTTTCGCTGGCGATCGCTTGTGCTTCCATAAATAATTTTAGATCGTATTCCGGAGTTAGATTCGTTAAACGTGGTTGACGATCTTTCTCGTTTCCTTGAAGTTCACAGCTACTGTCGCTTTCGTTTCCATCGCCGGTACTTCCTTTCCATTTGTTTCTCATTTCTCTTACTTTCAACTGGTAGTTTCGTTGTTCCGTTGTTTGATGCAACCCCTTCGGGGACTTTTTCGCCAAGCATGTTACGGCTTTCTTTCGTTCCTCTTCGCGCTTCTTCCTTTCTTTATAGAACTCCCTGAAGAGGAAAGAGTATTTTCGTACTGTATCCGCAGAATGTACGGTTTAAGTGGCAATAAAATGTTACTTACACGCAAGCTTGCGGCGTAGTGTTATGATACAGAGGACAAGCCTCTAAAGTGAAATGCGAATCGAGCTTTCCGGAGAGATGACCCCGCGAATCGCATGTGGGTGCTAGAGGACATTCTCTTTCCTTGTTTACGCGTGTACGACCATAACTGCCTTGCCCAGATCTTCCACTTGTAGCGTTCGAGGAACTACTGTTCTGTGGTATTCTGTTGGTTCCGGACGAATGTCTGGCTGCGGTGCTAGGCCCGGCACGTTTAACGGGTGATTTGCTGGTACTCCTCTTGCTCTCAGCTACTCTCGATAAATCACACCGGATCAGCGGAATTTGCAGGATACGTTTACACGCTACCGTTTCCGTACCTGAGAACCATACTGCCGCCGTAAGCAAAAAGACTGTATCTGCATCTTAGGACACCTTGGACATGCTTTTTTGTATACGAAATGATTGTCCCATCGACCAGTGGATTCCTACGGGCCATATATATGTCCAATCCATCCATCCAGAACCGCAAATACTGCTTTTTTGTGTTAGGGAGGCAGCATAGAGTCCTAAATCCACCGCCTGCAGAAAATTCTCTACCCGCCTCTTTTCAAGATATTCATGCTAACATTTCTGACTTTATCCGATCAAGTAATCGAAATGTATTTAGAGACATTTACTACGAGAGGACGGTGGTACTACAGTAACAATATGCCTATATGCATTGAGACTGAAAACGGGGTTGCAATAAAAGGTTGGTAGAAGGAACTGAACTTATGGAAGGAGGAAATACGAAAACAGTTGGTTAGTTTAATTTCTAAAGCAACACTGTTCAATATAAAAATAATAAAGGGAAAAATAAATGGAAACTAATGTATACTAAGGATATGCAACTAATAATACTCGTATTAAGTAAAACGTGTTAGACAGTATTTAGGAAGATACCAATTTTTTAAATGGAAACGTAATGCATAAGGAGACAGGAGAGGTGTATAGGGTTAGTAGTGAAATATTGCATTCTATGGCTTATTCCTACAATATATTCGTACCTGTATCGGATTCCGAATCGCTGGCCGCCTTTGTTTGAAGTTGAAGTAACTTGCTTCCTTTTCGCGTTTGAAGCTTCCGTTTCCCTTTAGTTGTTCCTTTCGACGTACCGGTTTCTCCATGTTCGTCCATTTCTTTCTCACTCGCGGACGCGTCAGCTTCATCCTCACTTTTTAATGTACCTGGTCATCAAACGAAATAAACGATTAATTTCTTTTTAATTTGTAACAAATGATTACAATTAAAAACGTTTATAGTTACTTACCCTGTCGTTTTGTACACTTTTGTGGTTTTACAGGCGCAACCGTTGCAGAAGGTCGCTTTGGTGGAACATTTGCAGTGGCGCCTATTGTTACACTCGGTTGAATATCTTTTTTCTTTATTTGCGGTTGTGGGCTTGCAACACTTTCTGAAGACTCGGAATCAGTACTACTATCTGTGGATCCCGAAGAACCTGAACCTGCAGAACAGCTCTTTGAACTTGCAGAGCTATCTGATTTTTGTAATTGCACTGACTTAGTTAATAAATCTAGCACAATAAAATAAAAAGCTTATAAGTATCGGTAATATTATAAATATTATAAAATGATGTGGAAGTAACATACTGGATCTATTTGGAACAACAGTTTTTTGCTTTGCATCATTTGATTTTGGCTTAGATTGCTGATTCTTTGTGTACTTTGTAGAGCTATTTATAGGTTTTGTTGAGTTTGTTTTTGTTGCAATACCACCATCACTTTCACTACTATTCTCAGGGCTGAATATGCTCTTTTTTTTTAACTTCTTTTGCACAGGTTCTGAAGTGGTTTTTACAGATTTGTCAGGACCTTTCCCATTAGTACTTGCAGACGCTTTAAAAGAAAAAATATTATCAATTATTGAATGAAAGTAAAATTACAGTAAAACAAAGTTATTTAAAATAAATATGTTCTTACTACAGGGTTTGTTTAGCTTGTTAACAACTGATTTAGAATTTGGTGCATTTTTTTGCTGGCCAGTACTAACTAGTGATTTAGCTGGTGGTCTTTGTTGTTTTACAACAGGAGCTACTGTAGCAGTTGCTTTTGGTTTTGCAGGTGGTTTTCTTTTTGTCGTTGCTTTTATTTTACTTGGTGATTCTTCCGATTCTGAAGAATATACCACAGGTCTACTCTTTGGTGGTACTCTTTCTTTAGTTTTATTTTCTACTGATGGAATAGCAGCTACATCAGTTTTAGATTTGCCATGTCTGTTAGGAGGGAATGTTGTTTTCTTCTTTATCCTTTCTGTATCAGATGCTTTTTGACTATTAGCAGAACTACTAGAATTTTCTGAATCGGATGAACTGGATTCACTGCCTGAACTTGAAGAACTACTAGATGAAGAACCAGAGCTGGTTGTTGAAGTAGATTCTGAGCTAGTGGTCTATTATTTAATAGTAACATTAAATATATTAATTTAAATTTGTCCGTAATATAACTATGAAATCATAATGAACGTATAACCTATACAAGACCAACATACCTTCCATTTTGGAGTCATTTCTACAGTGCTATCTCTGAAGTAAGTAACAAACGGTGTTTAACATCATTTCTGCAATAATATCTATACTCCTTCCAGACATGTATGGAAGGAATTATTTACATTGAACTTGATTAAGGCAACAAACCTTCCATTTTACACTTTACACACAACAACTTCACACACACTAACACACTATCGTATGTGATCCTGCGCAAAAATAATATGATTTCAGGGCAAATTCGTAAATGATAACAAATAATTCCTATCCTCTATAAAATATTTTCTAGTATTTGTACGTATTTGTTGGAATGATTTTTATTCAATGATAATATTTGATATTCAGAATATATTTCTAATATTGAGTAAATATTAAAAATTAGACAGCATATAAGATGTGAACATGTTTCATACTACATCTTACATGTTCTATGATTCACACATGAAGTATAGATGACACTCGCATCGACTATTCCAGATGAAATTTTTCATTTCTTGAAAGAGTACCGGCGTATGTGTTGTAATATTATATTGTGAAATTTAATTTTGAAATAATATATACCAAATTTCAACAATGACAGCATTTGAGGGTAAATATCTTATTTTAGACGAATCTTTGATATATCAATTAGATTAAAATGATTATAATTACAGGTATTAGTAATGAAATTGTCAAAATCTTTCATGCATTAATAATATTTTGTTTTAGAAATGGGTGTATTGCCCGAAATTGGACAAGCAGTTGATGAAATGGAGTGGACGTAAGTCAAATAAAATTCTGTCTTATATATGAAAGAAATTATCAAGTACTACTGAGTATCTTTATGCAGATTACCAACTGATGTTCAAGCTGAGGCGATTCCATTAATTTTGGGTGGTGGAGACGTATTAATGGCAGCAGAAACTGGTAGTGGTAAAACCGGTGCTTTTTGTTTACCAGTTTTACAAATTGTATGGGAAACCCTAAAAGATCTAGAATCTGGTAAAACTAGCAGTAGTTCAGCTGGAAGTCATCAACATTGTATGCTATTTCTTTTTATACTTCTTACATGTTTTATCTTTATTTCGTATGCTGAACAGAATTTTTAATTATTTGTAGCTGCAAATTGGACATTAAGTTTATTTGACAGAGGTAGAGCATTAGCTGTAACTCCGGATGGTTTAAGATGTCAGAGTCGTGAACAGAAAGAATGGCATGGTTGTAGAACAAACAAAGGAATTCAAGGGAAAGACAAGTACTATTTTGAAGCTGTGGTAACTGATGAAGGACTGTGTCGTGTATCAAGTAATTATCTTAATTTTTTATTTGTTTTTTCTTAAAATAATATTAAAATAATTATAATTAACATTATATTTGTAAAATAGGCCTCACTGGATTTGGGAACAGATAAATTTGGTTTTGGTTATGGCGGTACTGGTAAAAAATCAAATGCAAAGCAATTTGATAATTATGGAAAGGCTTTTGGAATGCATGATGTAGTAGGATGTCTTCTAAATTTATCAAAAGGTGAAATTAGTTTTACACTGAATGGTGCAGACCTGGGTCCAGCATTTACTTTAAATGCTCAACAAAAATCACAGACCTTTTACCCATCTGTAGTATTGAAAAATGCAGAAATGTCATTTAACTTTGGAGCAAAGCCATTTAAATATCCACCACCAAATGATTATATAGCTGTTGCTTCAGCACCTAAGGAAGCTGTAAGAGAAAATCCTATAAACAGTAGCCAAACTCAAAACAAAGAAGATGGCAAACTTAAATGCAATGCTCCCCAAGCTATAATTATGGAACCTTCCAGAGAACTTGCAGAGCAAACTTATAATCAAATTCAGAAAGTAAGGTGTCAGTAGTTGCAATTGATATTAAAATACTTAATTCCTATTTAATATTAAACACGATAAAATGATATTCTTCCACAGTTTAAGATATATCTGAAAGATCCAGTCATTAGAGAATTATTAGTTATTGGCGGTGTTAGTGTAAAAGATCAAATTTCTACATTGAATTCTGGTGTGGATATAGTAGTTGGAACACCAGGCCGTTTAGAAGATTTAATACAAGGCGGCTATTTGTCTTTAACACATTGCAGGTACTTTACAATGCATTCTGTACTAGGTTTATAAAAATAGTCGTCCCTACAGAGAAATGTTGTTTTTAGGTTCTTTATTTTAGATGAAGCTGATGGTCTATTGAAACAAGGATACACGGAATTAATTGATCGTTTGCACAGACAAATACCAAAAATTACATCAGATGGAAAAAGATTACAGATGATTGTTTGTTCTGCAACACTGCATGCATTTGAAGTAAAAAAGATGGCAGTAAGTATTTGCAATTACAGTTTATATTTCGTACAATATTTTATGCAAAAAATTTATAACAAGTTTTTACTTTGTGTAGGAACGTTTAATGCATTTCCCAACATGGGTAGACTTGAAAGGTGAAGATGCAGTTCCTGAAACAGTACATCATGTTGTTGTAATAATAGATCCACAGAAAGATAAATCGTGGCAAAATTTAAGAAAACATATAGAAACCGATGGTGTTCATACTAGAGATAATGTAAGACCTGGAAACAGCGACCCTGGTGTGTTTTAAATTATATAGTTCCCGTATAACATTGTAATTTCGATTTATCAAGTATATAGTTAAATCTGTTTTACAGAGACACTTTCGGAGGCTGTAAAGATACTAAAAGGCGAGTACTGTATTCGTGCCATTAGGCAGCATAAAATGGATAGAGTCATTATTTTCTGTAGAACTAAATTAGACTGCGATAACTTGGAACGATATTTAAAACAATCTGGTGGAAACCAGTTTTCATGTGTATGTTTACACGGTGATCGAAAACCTGCGGAACGTAAATCTAACTTAGAAAAATTTAAAAGACAGGAAGTCAAATTCTTGATTTGTACCGATGTCGCAGCTAGAGGTTTAGATATTTCAGGATTACCTTTTAGTACGTAATCTGTATTGCTTTACTATCAATACTTAATAAGATTGTATATAATTATGATTCTACTGATTATGTAATCTTTTAATAGTGATTAATATGACGCTACCCGACGAGAAATCAAATTATGTACATCGCATAGGTAGAGTCGGTAGAGCTGAACGAATGGGTTTAGCTATTTCGCTAGTTAGTAAAGTTCCTGAAAAAGTGTGGTATCACGGTGAATGGTGTTCTTCTCGCGGAAGAAATTGTTACAACACCAATCTCACTGACGCGGGTGGTTGCTGCGTATGGTATAACGAACCGAATGTAAGCTTTAACGTAATGTAGTTTACTTTCTTTTTGATATTTGATTATTATGGTTATTGTTTTGCAGTATCTAGCTGAAATTGAGGATCATTTAAATGTTACAATCCAACAAGTCGAGGCAGACATTAATGTTCCACTAAATGATTTTGACGGAAAAGTTACATATGGAGAAAAGAAAGCAGCCATGGGTATGTAAACTTTATATTCGTGTCATAATGTAAATTGTATCGTAATATATATATAAATTTTTAGGTTCAAACTATCAAAATCATGTTCAGCAAATAATGCCCTACGTGTCCGACTTAACCACATTAGAATCAGAAACTCAACTTTTGTATCTGAAAAGACATTTGGTGAAAACAGCAAATTGAAATGTTTTCAGCTTTAGATTATACATAACTATATGAGAAGCTAAGTTTATATGTTCCGAATTGATCACTCTATCGTTAAATATTGTGTTTTAATATGTTATACTAGTGTTTGAATAATCTCTTAGTATTTATAAATATAGTGTACTTCCAAATGTAATATATAAATTTGTTACAAGTAATATAACGTCTTAGTTCACGTAACAACGTGTCTCAATATTTACTTCATAATTAGCTATTAACGAAACATCCTTGATATAACTTCTTTTAAAAAAAATATGACTTAGATAGCACTTAGATAGCATATGTGTATATAAGACATACGGTAAGTGTTTATTGTATTTTTATAATCTTCATAATTGTACCATCACTATTTTAGTTACACAAATGTATAATACAGTGGCCTTGCAGTGTTGTTGGTTTTGTAATTTTCACAATATCTTTGTATGATTTGTTTTGTATATGTGCATGTGCACGCACGTGCGCATATGTGATACATATATATATATATATATATCATACACACATACACACGCGCGCGCGCATATATATGTATATACATGTATATTTATACATATATATCATATCATATATCATATACTCTTAGAATTTACTAAATGACTTTTGTTTAATTACACATAATAATTTATACACATTTCTCGAAATCAATGGTAAACGACTAAAGTTATACAGTATACAAATCATACTGTTTGTTTTCTGCATTCAGATATAGCGTACGTGTCCTCCCTCTTTTTTTTTAAATAGTGTATATGATTCATGTGTAACACGCTATACGAACATAACGTGTTTATCTTATTCACACGAGTAAACGAGGCGCACGTATCTTCACACTTGTAGATGGATTTTTTTTATTCCCTTTGCACAATTAGTACAACACGAGTCGAACCCTTTACTCGCTATAATAATTTAATTGATTAATCAGCATAGATTAATGAAAACGTTTCTTTTTTTCTCTTCATATTCAGACAGTCATCACAGAATGAGAATGAAATATTTTTATCTTCTTGTAATTTAAAAACACATTTACAGTCGTACAAGTCACTCTTTCGTTTTTTTTTTTTTTTTTTTTTTTTTTTTTTTTTTTTTTCTTAATGCATACACGCTATCACACTCATGAAATCATTCGATCGCATTAACTCAATGAATTATATTTATATAATATACATATATATTTATATAACATAAATATATATATATATATATATATTTATTTATTTATGTATTTATATGTATATCAGTTTATCATATATACTACATGTCCACCCCACGATTCTTACTTAAATAGCTTCGACAACTAAACGACTGAGGCGATCAATACTTGTTCGCGTATTTTATATAGTAACCATATCTTTTCGTTTGATTGCATTGTACGCAATGTGTGTCGGCTTATGTTTTTTTCCTTTTTTTTTTTTTTTTACCTTTTTATTGTGCATTTATATCGTGGATACTCATTAGTCTAGGTTTTTTTAAAAAAATTCCTCATGCCCATTTTCGCGGGAGCATATTTTAATATCGAAAGAAATCATGGGGCGGATAACATTTAATTTCATTTCCTAACGAATTTCTCGTGTTATTATTATTCATTTACATCACGCATATTTTACCACTTCCTGTGTATTTTTTTTTTTTTTGCTTTCTACGAGTTATTATTCATTCACTCTATAGTTAGCGCTTATTCGAATGTTACTGTTCAACGATTCCTCCTTTCGCTCTTACTTTTGCGCCTGCATCAATAGTAATTCATCTTTCTTAAGTCTTCAGCTAAACATACTTCTAAGAGACACGCAACAACGAATTCATTAAGAATTAGGGAGAAAACACGGGTCTTTTTCTTTGGGAGGGGGGTTACTTATTGACGAGTCGATAAAACTCTTCTCTCCCTTTTGCTTTCTTAGTTTCTCTGTTCTCATCCATTATTACGTGAATACATTTATGCACGAACAATTAAGTGAACCGTCGTCTAATTCTTCGGTAAAATCGACGAGATAAATTCCTTTCTCCGTTTACGTAATTTCCAAATAAGTTTCCAAATAATTATACTTCCAATAGAGTGTTCGCCAATTTCCAAATTCGAGCATCATTCTAACCACGATGCATCGTTATTCGAAAACAATGTCCCCGATTTTATAAAGCGTTATCCTCATGGCAAAAGTATGCTCGTGATTATTGAACGTTTTGGATCCTAGCGAACAATACGTTGAAGACTAGAAAGGAAAAGTTAGACTTCGGACAACACTAACGATCGATCATCGTACACATATATTTTCATACAAATTACTTCGACACAATACGTGGCTCTTCTCGTTCCCTTGCTTAACGAATAGGATAGTTGCCGCGCTCGAGGCACAAGTAGCTTTTTTCTCTTGCCTTTCACAATTTTATCTAATAAGTCTTCAAGTCGAAGTGGTCTCACGTTAAATTATGAATTGTGACCCTAGAATTGAACGAACGAGAAATCATGAGAGTATGAACGGTTTCCCAATCGTAAGATCACTTTGATGATTCTAAGAGTTCTATTAAGATAACCTCAATTTCCGACGAAGTATAAAGAATCAAAGAAACGACTGAGAATATATGTATGTAGATAGGTACGATCCACAATCGGGGAACGTTTGCAGAACCATGATATACAATGGTTATCGAGATGTTCTAGATAGAAGACAATGGAACATATTTTTATTGCCTATATTCGCAAATTCGAATGGCTGGATGGAAAGGTAAGTGGTAAGGACTCACCTCCGAAAAACTATGTCACATCTGGGAAATTTACAGGGAACTCTGAGATACATCTTCTTTTATACGTTTTGCGATACTTTCACGGAAAGACCGTATGACGTTTACGCGTTCGTTCTACTAATGAAATACCCGTTAATCATAAACGTAACGTGTTCGTTACACACGCGAAGACGATTAGCGAAAATATTCAAAGAACGTTCCAAGGTAAATCATAATAATCGTCTGACGCAAGCGATTAATTCTACTTTACCGTCAAAGGCATTGAAAAGTGAGAAGCTGACAGAAACAATAACGAACGTATTGTTGTTCGAAATAAATTAAGACGAATCGGCGCGTCTGTTCGATCGAGTGACGCTTCCCCCTCTCTCCTTTCCACACTATCGCCCCTCTCTTTCGCTCTACGTTTTCCGCGGTGAAACAATTTAACCAGAAATAAAAATAGCACCTTTACATCTCTGCACACGTAGAAAATGCATCGGTATTTATTCGAATGATAATCGTAATCTCGAACGATTGAACTTATTGACTTTCCATGCATTCGTGCATGCGTCATTGATTTAATAATTCCAACTTTGAGAACGATTATCCAGTCTCTATGCATATACGCAGATGCATACGTCGTTCACGAGTCGACCTTCGCCTTGCATTAAGACTTCTGAAAACTTTGTTTCTCACTGAATCGTATTAGAACTACGTATGTTTGCACGAGACCACGATCCGAGCTTCGGCGAACGCTCATTGTAGAAGACGTTTCTCTAGCTTTCTCCATCCTTTCTTTCTCTTTTCTCTCTCTTCTTTCCCTTTTTCCTTCCTTTTCTTCGGTGACAAAACATCGAAGCTTTTCCTTTCGAATATACATAAATAATTACGATATACGAAAAACGAACATTTCTATTATTCGAAAGACAACCACAACTCGAATACAGCGTTACAATGTTCACATTTGAATCTGCACTGATCGTGGCCGTTTAAATAAATACATTATTCTAAATTGGACAGATGAATCTAATTTCTCCCGAAGATAACTTTTAACAATGATTACAGCAGTAATCGCTGACTGTGTAAAAACAATTTCTTATCGAATAACAGTGTAACGATAGTACGATCACAATAAATGACTCTGTATTATTAACATAAACGCGAACATGATAGCGCAAAACGCGTATTTATCTACGAGCAGACGTTCCGTGACTTTGTTAGAAACGTGTAACGAATCGAAATTTAGAATTTCGAATTTTTTTCCTAAACCAATTAAATGACCTCGATGATGCAGTCGTGCCAACGAATCGAATTCGACCGGGTACATTTAATTATTTACCGACAATGATTACCAGCAACGTTGCATCCATCAGCTTGTGCACCTCTGTCTCTCGGTACGACGATTCCAACCATGCCCATTCTCGGTCTACATACTTCAACATTCGCTTTTTAAGGCAATGCTCTCTCAGCAACGTGGTCCACAAAGGATATTGCGAAATGCAAGCGGATAATGCACTTCGTGGACGACGTGCTGTGTTCATCGACGATTTCTATTCGCACGACGCGATCGTAAACGCGATCGGGCCGTCTGAATCTGTTGCAGCATCGAGGAGAACAAAAAAGAAAATACAATTCGTCGTTACGTTAAAATAACAATGAAAAATGGTCGCAATCACTGTCGAGAGATTTAAATGCACATACACGTGTACGCGTCGTTACGCGATCGAGAAAATCGCCAACGTATCAGAGTTCTCGAAGGTACTACATCGAATAGTACAATCCCAACAAACAAACGCACAATTTCGAATCAGCCTCGTCGAACTATCAATGCGTCATTGCTTTGTATCCGAACGAACCTGTCATTGTTGTATTTACAAATAATAATTACTTGCACCGCTTATTTTTACATGTACATATTCACATGCCTGGTACATTGTACGTACAGTAAAAGAAAAAAAAACTTGTGCGATCGGCATATGTATACAATATATATATATAATATATATGTACGTATATATAATGTATGTATGTATATGTATATCGGTATAATCGTGACCACGTAAAATTTATTAGTTATTAATTCGGAATCCGTTTGTTTCTCGCTTGCGTATGCGCACACAACAGTCGATTATAATTACATTTACGAATTTCGTTTACATTCAACAAGTAGTAGTAGCAAGTATTTCTTTCCACTTTTGCATATATTTTTATTGCACCGCGGCCGACGAAAACGGACAATTAATCTACGAATACCTCTTCGTTTCCACTTCTTTATATATAATTTCTTTTTTCTCTTTTTTTTCTTTTTTTCTTGGTCAATCAAACCGCATTTTCCCTCTTTCTCTCCTTTCTGTTGTCCGATGCCGCTGGATAAAGCATTCAAAATTAGGACGAACGCGTTTCTCTATTAAAAGGAAAAAAGAAAAAAGAAAAAAGAAAAGAAAACGAAAAATAAAATCGTAACGAAAAAAGAAAGACGTATAAGAATACTCGCAACAATACTAATTACACAATACTCGTTCATACTCTGGCATACACGAAATGATGGTTTATATCTCTTTGTGCTGGATGAACATTAAAGTTTCACGGAAGTTTCATCGACAGGTAATATTACCTGTCGATGAAACTTCCGTGAAACTTTAATGTTCATCCAGCACAAAGAGATATAAACCATCATTTCGTGTATGCCAGAGTATGAACGAGTATTGTGTAATTAGTATTGTTGCGAGTATTCTTATACGTCTTTCTTTTTTCGTTACGATTTTATTTTTCGTTTTCTTTTCTTTTTTCTTTTTTCTTTTTTCCTTTTAATAGAGAAACGCGTTCGTCCTAATTTTGAATGCTTTATCCAGCGGCATCGGACAACAGAAAGGAGAGAAAGAGGGAAAATGCGGTTTGATTGACCAAGAAAAAAAGAAAAAAAAGAGAAAAAAGAAATTATATATAAAGAAGTGGAAACGAAGAGGTATTCGTAGATTAATTGTCCGTTTTCGTCGGCCGCGGTGCAATAAAAATATATGCAAAAGTGGAAAGAAATACTTGCTACTACTACTTGTTGAATGTAAACGAAATTCGTAAATGTAATTATAATCGACTGTTGTGTGCGCATACGCAAGCGAGAAACAAACGGATTCCGAATTAATAACTAATAAATTTTACGTGGTCACGATTATACCGATATACATATACATACATACATTATATATACGTACATATATATTATATATATATATTGTATACATATGCCGATCGCACAAGTTTTTTTTTCTTTTACTGTACGTACAATGTACCAGGCATGTGAATATGTACATGTAAAAATAAGCGGTGCAAGTAATTATTATTTGTAAATACAACAATGACAGGTTCGTTCGGATACAAAGCAATGACGCATTGATAGTTCGACGAGGCTGATTCGAAATTAATACTCGCAGACACAGACTCGCTGTCTTTCGTTCCCTTGCATCCTTGCTGTCACTCTTACATCTGTCATCAAGTTTTACAGTAAAAATAACACTTCGTAAAGTTATAAATACCGTTACAAACTATGGCTTGTCAGTTATGTTTAGTACGATAGGTATACATATATATGTATGCACACGGGCCCATACATTGATATTACATGAGAGTACATTTATGAGGGTGTGGGCTCGCAGCATGTACGGAATAACCGTTATGCAATGTCCGGAATTTCTATCCTCATCGTTTCAACAGCCACAATGTTACACATGATTAGATGATATATCATCGGGTGGACCGAAAACAATCAACGTATCCATATTATTGGATAAAACACTTTTCAAAGGACACGAAAATAAGAACGATTCGTTGACGTAGAACTTTAACGAAGGAAAACGTCACGAGATCAAAGATACATAAAGAGAAAAGAATCGAAAAACGGTCGATGAAACGGTCAATTCGTTTTTTCCCTTAGAAACGTTCCGTGCGCAACATTTTATCCGTTTCTTTTGGTATATAAATTAATTGATAAAAGAAAGAAAGGAAAAAACAAGAGTTGATTGTAGCTAATAAAGAAAGAAGAGCGAACGTGATCGAGTTGATTAGAAAAATCTTTGAAATAAGAAGATAATAAGGATAGTAAGACCGGATGGCCCAATATAGTTACGTTGTGTTACATAAACCTTCGGAACGTGGCTTATTCGTATCCTTATTTTACTCAGTTTAATTTGACGTTAAACTCTCGTTATCTATTATAAAAGTAGTTGTTACACAGATCAGTAACCCGCACTTAATTTAGGGGTACGAGGGCGAAGGTATGCGAGTGAAACGTGCTGCTACGAAAAAGAAAAGCGCATTGCATTGGAGATGAATATTTTTCTCTGATACTAATACATATATCAATTCATCAAGTTTATATATTTATAGTAGAATGCACGTGTACGCACGTGCGAGATATAGCCGCAATGCGCGTACTTCCAAAGCAAGCCGCACACGCGTACAAACCCCTCTCGTCCTCTGAATCTAGTATGAAATTGAGAGGAAAAAAGAAAAAAAAAAGAAAAAGAGAAAAATGAGAGGAAAAAGTACAATTGTGATTCGAAAGAAAATAAGAGGAGACTTACCATATACAGGGTGTCCAAATAGTAAAGATACGTGAGATAAGAAATTCGCACATCGCACTTTGGTTCAGGAAACTTTACCCTAAGAAGTTCCGATGATAACTGATCATTTGGATGCACCGATCGAAATTTGTACATGTTACCGTTGCATACCCTCGGGACATAAAGCATTTACTCGAAAACGAGACGCGGGACTTTACGTTACGAAGTCGAATAAATAAGCAACATATTATACCTCCGTATGTTATAACGTTTACATTGACGTACTTTGATTGTTGTAAAGTTGGAGCCTAACACTATAGTCAGAAGTGTACGTGTAAAACGAATTTCCCACGTGGCACATTTCTCTTGCGTACGTTTAGGATTTATATGTAGACACTAGCTACAATGATAATATATGTGCCTAAGTACACGAATTAAAGTAGTTCAATGGAAATCAGTAAAAACGATATCAGTGAGGAATCTCGATTCATAGGAAACGCACATAAAAACATGAATCCGTGGACGGTCACCCTGTACATATTTGATACATAGTTATATAATTAAAACGCTCTTCGAAATACTGTAAAATCTCACAAAATACTCTTCTTGTAAAAAGGTGCGGCTGAGACTCCTACGGGTCGGGCCAATGCGATTAAAAGTTGAGATTCGGAAATTCGAAAAAATTAATTTACCAATAAACACGGAGATCGTATAATTAAATCGTTTTAAGGGTTAAGGAAAAAATAGAGATTCGAAAAATGAGTAAAGAAATGTTCAACGATAAGGATTTTTATCGGAGAAATCACCTAAGTCTTAGGAAACATTCTTAATACTAAATCTGAACGAGATAATAACGCGACGAGTGTGCCGGACGAAAGAGCCGTTACACGATCGCCGTCATGTTACTCTGTAACAATGGCCCACGTTAAGACATTCGTACGCTTTCGCTCTCTTCCAATCGCTCTCTCTTTCTCTCACTCTCTTATCAACGAATTGATGCGTAATAAGAATAAAATTAACGAGGTAATAGTTAAAATTGCACGTGTTTTTCTAGCAACGAATATTATTTTCCCCCCAAATCACGACGTTCAGCACACTCTCGACAAAACCTAAAAAAGGAGTCGAGTGATCGAAATGCCCGAGACATCTTTTCTTTTTTTTTTTTTTTTTTTTTTTCTATCGAAACGATCGTTAGAGTAGAATGCGCAAGGGCATAATTTGCTTGTACACCAATGACATAGTAAGCGATTCTGTGCAAAAAAGAGAACTACTCTCTCCATTGCGAGACAGATTTTTTTTTTTTTTTAGGTAATCCCCAACCGCTGCGTATCAACTTTTCTCCTTGAACTCTCCGTCGAAGAAGAACGATCGACTCGCAGTCATCAATCATGTATGCGTACGCGCGGATTCTTCGACGCGTTACTTTCTGAATAATTAAACGCTTCAGATACGCGAAGAAGAGTTCCACGCACCAACGTTGTGTCGTCGTACATCGCGATACTATTCAGATCGCCCACAGTACGACTGGCTTGACTCGCGTTAGCTCAAGATGGAGCACTACCGTAATTTTTATACGAATAGATGACAGGACATGTCGGCAGGAACGAAGTCACAAGAGCTCGTACTGGCGCAAGTGCATCCGTTGAATGATGTCCCGACAATCGTTAAACACTCTCTTGATGTTCTCCGTATCGACGGCGCATGTAAAGTGCGGATAACAATAGTGCTTGCCGTCGCCGCTCGCTGTGCTTATACGCTGCGAACAGTTCAATCAGAAATTTATAGGTTGCGCAATAAAACCAAACACGAATCTCTAATAAAGCTTCTAGTACTTACAAGAAATTCGTCTCTAATAAAGTACTTGGCCCTCATAACGTCAGGAGGTTCCGAAGGATCTGCAACGACCCCAGTTTCAACCGGCGTCTGATATCGCGCAAACTCTTGAAAATAGTCTTCTAATTTGTGCTTCCCTGCTTTTATCTTTTCCGCTAATAGATCTTGTTTGTTTAAAAATAAGATTACAGAAATTGTGCGGAGCCACCTGGAAGGAAAAAAGCATATAACGTGATATCGATCTCGAACGGGGGAACTCTATACAGACAAGAAACGAAACTGTACCGATTGTTCCAAATGCTTTTGAAGAGATCCAAACTTTCTTTGAGTCTCAACTTTGTCGGATCCTCCCTGAGTACCATGTTATAACTACTACATGCTGTTACAAATATGATTGCCGTTACATCGTTAAAGCACTGTATCCACTTTCTCCTCTCGTCGCGTTGACCACCAACGTCGAACATACTACGAACAAACGATTATAGATACTATCACAACGCTTTTGCGGACGGAATATACGCAAAGAATCGCATCGACGTTATATTTTACGTAACACCATCGACGGATGAAAAAAGAGACAGATTGAAATTAGAATCGATCCGCAAATTTAACTCTAACGGGATGAAATTCCACAGGGGACCGATAAAGACTGGATGTTCCTCCGTAGAGTTAATGCGAAACACAGGATCTGACCGAGAGGGGCAAGCGGGGATCAAGGCAAAAAAGGGAAAATATTATAAAGTTGCGGAGGCGTTAACGCGGCTAACGGATTTCGCTGCTCGTATAGCACGTAAGTCTATAGCTGTAATATATACGCCGGGATGAGGTGCGCGTCGTTGCTTTGCGTTATATTTACCGTCGGCCGATGTTACTGTAATACGTCGTCTATATATAGTTAGATGACACTGGAGTAAAGCGAGCAGCTATCGGTGAGGACTTACTGAAAGTTTACTTTGTCGACTTGAAACCGCGTTTCGAAGATACCGGACGTGAGGACTCGACACCTGAGGATGTCCTGAAACAGACCAAGAAAATGTATCATTCCAACGAGATCCTGGTAACGAGTAATCTCGGTTACAAGCTCGTGTCGGTGATTACCTGTTCTGTGGGGGTGTAATCCGGTTGTTTAACAATGGCTACCTTATCTAGAAAACTGGAACAGAGAACAGAAGAAACGATTAGACATCTCGCGGTACTCAAGCTTCGCGGAGAATCGAAATTTCTACAAGGTGATCTCCATTCGACAATGCTAGAACGAACAACGCCTCTATCAACGTATAACTATTTCCGATCGACGTTGTCCAACCGCGATAACGATCACCACGAGTCAACCATTGTTATCGTGAGAGTCACTTTACGCGTTCGCGGACGCGTCTTCGCCTAACTACGCTCACGATTGTTCAATTTTTCAAACACGCACACAGGAAGCTTGACCCGGTATCCGTTTAAAAAACCGACGGGCTCATGGTTTACCCTGGAAACGATTCGAGCAACCGATTGCCAGGTAATAACAAAGGCGCCGTTATAATTGACCCTATCTGGAAAACGGAACCAAACGTATTTCTAAGTGTTTCTATGGATCATTAGCATGAAAATAATCCCCTGCTGCCCAAACTCCCGGGACCCAGAATCTCGGAGTCGAAACGGTGCGCCATCGAAAGTGGTGCGATAACACACGATGGAGGGCGGAAGTAGCTGGTGAAAAAGGGTGGGACGGTGAGAGAGCACCGAACGCAGAGAATTCTCTCTCTCTTTTCCCCTGTTTCTCTCTTCTTCCATCTTTGTACCACGCTCTCTTTCACTCCTCCTCTCTCCCATCCTCTGTCGCTGTTCCTCTCGAAAGACCCTCCCTGGCTGGTGTCTAGGGTGGATAGAGCGCACGAAGGGGGAAAATCGATCCTCGGTGGTGTCCTATCCTAACCCCAACTCTCGCCCTCTCGGCCTCGCCGGGTATGCCTCTCTAGCACCCAGTTTCCAATCCGGGTCATGGGTCACTGCCACCGATGCTCGCCATCAATCGTACGTGCAGACTTAGCTTCGCGTATGTATACCGGTGCCCGGTACAGGTGTATGTACGCGCGAGAACCTACAGGGGTGGGTCTTCGCTTTGACACCACCATACAACCTTCCACAGTCGGTTGACGGTGATAATATATTTACTGACAGATACCGGTAGGTACTGTTCTCCGGACCGGATATTAGATAGCCGTACAGACAACGACGCTTTTTCATTCGAAATATCGCGGAACTTGGAACAAGGAACACGCCATTAGTCCCTGTGACAGCATCGCTTCGAGAAATACCGGGATAATCAGATCGTCTCTGGTTCTGTCGTCTACATTCTTCTGGAAGTTTCAACGCGAACGAATCAGTATAAAGACAACCGAAAGAGATGTTCAGATTCCACGACACGGAGGATAGAAGGGGCAACGAGGCAAACTGCGAGACGCATCATCAATTATCCCAGCGTCCATTGGCCCCAGCAGGCATAAGTAAATTGGCTGGTCGACTAAATTTCAGGCACCACGAATCGGCGAGATTGATTTTCGGCAAGTGGTTGCACAGGAGAGCTGACAGAAGCCGTGGGATAGGTGGCTACGTGGATCGTGTGTAGGCTCGTGAGAAAGGTAGGTCATGAAATTGGCGCGCTCGCACAGAAATGAGGTTATCGACCTCCGGAGAATTGAAAGAGGAAGGAGGTCGTGACCCACTGGCTACAGCAGAACGATTTTCTGGTTACCGCGGCGGTGTAACTTTACCGACCTTGAGGTCAACTCTAACAATGTTATTTCTAACGACACGACACTCGCGACGTTCCTCTTGCGTGGCGGACAGCGCCAGGTTCCGAAAAACCAGGCATCTTGGCCACCAAATTTCTTCATCCTCGTTACGAAATAACGAAGAAATATCGGCAAAACGAGATTAGGAATTTATCTTCTCGCTTCAACTTTCAGAGGATCCTTTGTAAGCGCCGATTCATAAAATCGCGGAAAGTACACTCGCCGATCACGTTCGAGGATTTTGAACGAGGTCAGAGTGACTGCAAAACAATGGCAGTTGCATAAGTAACGAATTGAAGTAGACCAAATCGAATCCGCGTCGAGGATCCATTATGTACACTTACGTTGATTTCGACGCTTTCTAACGTTGTTTCGTCTGGAACGATCGCTCGCTCGTATCGCAAATATTTGAGTAACCCGATGGTTCCAGTTACCCCACGACCACGGCGCCCCGATGTGCATCGCGTTTTCGTTCTTTTCGCTTTGACACAACGAGCGAAAAATTCGATACAACCCTCGATTCGCTCATTTCATAGAGGAAAAAAAAAAAAGGGAAAAATCTCGTTGACTTTCGGGAAAACGTTGAAGACTTTCTGAAACGATTGCATCGATTTTTTTACGGTCTATATTTAGGCACCGGCATCGAAAGTTATTAACGAGGATAAAAAATGCTGGTTTTTATCTAACGTGACGATGCTACGGAAGAAGATTGTTATCGACCTAAACATTCATGAACTATGTGTGGCAACATCAGTGATCCCAGCATATAGACCAGCGTCTATATATAGCGACACTTGTTTCCTTTTTTAAGGTGTGCCGAGGTATTCCATCGTGTAATTGGCACGTTACTCGATTCTCCCCGTGTACAGCGCTCGTTTTCTCCTTTTTCTCCTTTTTCCTCTCTTTCCTGCATTTTTTTCTTCTTTCTTCTCTTTTTCATTTTCCCCGTCTTCCTTCCCCCTTTTCTTTATTTTTAATCCGACAGAAAAAATTCGATAGCGAAGTGACATCGCGTCGAATTGAATTTTCAGCGACTCGTCGGGGTTCGAAGGAGATACGGGGGAGTCCCCGGCCTCGCGATAACATCGCGATACGCCTCACCTGCGAATTTTATCGCGTGAAATCTGACAGTTGTTCAACCCGGAAATGACTCTGACTGAAACAACAATCGACAATCAGCCGTTGTTGCATACCGATCTCTCATTCTCATCGGACAAATATTTATTCGCCGTGCAGCGAGTCGAATTCGATATTTTAGGAAGCTTACCCGTTGGCCCATATTTCCCTTTATCTTCGATACAAATATTCCCTGCTGTTTAACTTTAAATTACATTGTTCTCGGAAAAGGGGAAAATGCAGACTAATCCGTTAATCCCCGTCGACCGCGTCTCGTCCTGTGTAACTCCGAGATCGGTCCCCCTGATCAAGAATGAGATGTTTAGCAAACAGGCGTCCAAAATTACAACAATCTAGCGTCCCCGTGGTCCACGCGAATATCTCCGTTATATCTCAAGCAGTGCTCCCTAAAAATACGATGCACTATTTTTATCGGCGGATTTCTCTCTCTCCCTCTCTTTCTTTCTATTTCGATGCACAAGAGGACAGCGGAGGAAAGAAGAGAAAAGCGAAAGAGAGAGAAAGAGAGGGAGAGAGAGAGGTTAAAAAATTGAAACGTTGGTGGACGAGGTGCAGTAACCGGAGTGTAACCGGGTCTAACATATTTTTAACCGAAACGAAAACTAGCGCCGTGATCTTGATGCGATCTCGCCGTGAAACGCGAAACACTATTTGGCAGGCTGCTAAACGTCGATCGTGAACATACTCTCGTTCCGCTCGTCTCACGGGAGCCATCAAACGATAAACGTTTTAATCTCTCATGCCACTGACAGTGTAACGACGACATCCATGGTAATCGCGTATGCGGGCACGAAAGACATGTCCCGCAAGGCTGTAGCCAAATATAAAGCGAGTTCTGTCTAATTAAAGTGTTTGACGAATTGATGAGCGGCAAACGGAGTCACATGCTGGGTTTTGTTAGCTTAGCGGATAAGTTTCGCGTTTACACTCGAGATTCACGCCCGTTTGCCCACGACCCGGTGCAACAACCTGTGCCTCACCTATGTAATTTTCAAAGGGATACAGTTTAAAGTGACCTGCTGGACCGGGACGGTCCGCTGCGGACCAGTTTTTCGCTGATTTATATAAATTGATCGGGTCGCATGGTGTTCCCTCCAAGTTACGTGACGTTGAAAATAACGGGAATGTGGAAAATAACCTCGCAAATTCGTGACTTTCATCGATTTCGTTCGATTACAGACTATTGACCATTCCACGGACATCGTCGATTCGAATGCATCATAGATGTGAAGGTATCCCCGTCCCGAAATTTCCTTTATCGCTGGTCTACGGCGAGAAAATACGAAGAATTGGCAAACATCGTAGCAAACTTTGGAGAATCGTTTGATCCAGGCTCCGATCCTTCGACGAACTCTGTCGAACTTCGGGCAGGTGGAAGACACGAGGAAAGCCAAATGTTTCGCATGCGGCGTTAAAAATATCGTTGAGGAAGAGAGGAGGAGGAGTGGAACAAAAGCAAGCAAGGTGTGTTGCGAAGCAGTTGCGATATGTACCTGAAAAGCTCGCGTGTCAGTGAACAGCGTGAAAAAAGTTCGAGGTTGGGCCAATTCATCGAGAACCCCTAGATAAACGAGTGGCCCCTATTAAAGCGATTACCTCGTTAAGGCATTGTCTCCATTGGCATTAAATCGGTGTCACAGGCCCATGAATATACACGGATATACCATATGTATCGCGGTCATGAGAACGCTTCCGAAATTTATCCAATCGCGTTGCAGACTATTTACAAGTCAGATAGGATATAACGAATACAGGTATACAGGCACGGTCACGTGTACAGGTACATAGGTGAGCTGTTACACTTTTTCTACAGAAGCGCGAGTTCTCGTCCCAGGTTATGCGCTCTCGGGCACACGCGGAACAGTTGAAAGGATGGCGAAGCAATCCGTGGGCAAATCCGGCGCTATTCGCGGTCCCATTATCGTCGTATAAACGTTATCGTACGTGCTTCTTATCGTAATCACGATACCAGTACGGGGGCGAATTAGAATAACCGTGTGTCGCGCCTCGTCGAGCACACGAGCCATTTAACGCTACGAACCTAGGCAATAACTTTAACCCCGTAACTTTTATCAACGACACGCCACGAATCCTCGCGTATTCATCGTATCTGGACAATCTCGCGTGCGTTAGATTCGTTCTGATGAACGTAAGAACAGGGATAACTCACTATTTGGCGCAGTCAATTAGTTGGTACTCGTTACTCCTCTCGAAACTCTGTTGAACGCCCCGGTCCTTCCAAAGAGTTTCGACGATTTCGTAGAACTCCTGCAAACACGAATTGCAATTCGGTTAGCGAACAATCGTCAAGGTGAAACGGGAAATGATAGGTATATAGTGTTCGATAATAAATGATCGTCTCACGTCGCATCCGTGGGTGATTCGCAAATAAGTTCACAGTTTGGCGGCCGTTTCTATCGTGTCTCATTAATTATCTAAAAAAACGTGCGGCTATGACGAAACGGAAAATTTGGCTCGAACACGACCACTATCGTGACAACGGAATATAAAGCGTCACGGTTTGGACCAACGAGAAAGACGGTTCGCCGCGCGTAAGTTGCGCGAAGCTAGCAGCGACGAAGCACGTCCCGTTATCGACGAAAATATTTTCATATTTAATTCTGTCGCTGGCTTTACACGCGCGTATTATCCGCCCCTATAAAAATGGATATCGACCAGGTATCTGAGCCAAGATAAATATTCGAATAACATCTATCGCCGAAGCGTTTGTCGGATAGAAAAACGGCGGCGAACGAGATAACACTCGAACGGAGTAGGATTTAATTTCGAAATGCAGTCGAGACGCCTGCCAATGTTAATTTGCCGCGAAAATGACCGGGTTTATGCTTGTTGCTCGAATCAAAGCGCAAACACCTCGTTCAAAGCCGCGTCCAGAACTTCCTCGAATTGCTAAATTTTTGTTTTTCGAAACACCAGCTCTTCGAGCGCTGCCGATCTCAAAGCAAACCGAGCCAACTTTCTCAACCTTGAAGACGCTGTACAAACTACCAAAATCTCGATTTTACCTTCTTCCTCGCAGAAATTACACCCGTATTTCGAATCACGATTAGCATAAAAAAATACAAACGTTTGAAAGGGGGCAATTTTAGATAGCCGTTGGTACTTCTCGCGATCCATGACGAATACGGTATACGGACATGGACATTTATTCGGTTGTATTTCGTGAAACAGGGATTAACCACACGTCGAATATACGCATCTCGTGGCGGGGTCGTGGTCAAATTCGGGTGTAGAATTCGACTCGAAATAAACTTCCGTATCCTCGAACGGCGGCGCCCAGATATGCAAAACAGCGAAACGACAGTGACAAATTGGACGCGGCCCATCGAACGCTCCTGGCAACGAAACGAAGTAAAAGGTAGACTCCGTTTGGAGTGACTTCCTCTTGATACAAAGACGCGTTTATTCGCACGAATAATCGTCTCTTTCCACGACAACGGGTCACGGTATATCGTAGAAATTCAAATTTAAACCCTTCACCTTGCTCAGCAAGCGGATGACTATCTTTACCATACCCGTAGGTGTTTTTCATCCAGTCTAAGGTATTTCGATGAAACGATACGTCGTGCAAAAATCCGCTACACCCTTCAGGAGGAACGCGAGACACGAAGCTCGTGTGATGGCTCAAAACTCGAACGATGGCCAGCGATTTAATTCGATTAATTTAGACGCAATGTTCCCGATGATTATCATGTCGAATTGCGCGTAGCGGGCAAGAAACTATTATTTGCATCTATACACCTGAGGCTGTGTAAAAGTATAATATACACATGCACGTAGCAGCAATTGCCAGTGAATGACGCAAAACACATGGATTATTTTGTCGCGACGACTTTATTTCGAGATGTGTCGCGTCGATTTCGCCGGTACAGAGCGTTCGCAGTTTTTGAATCTCGTGAAATTCTCGGCCTGATCCTCTTGGCAAGCGGAAAATCATTATTCTCCCTGATGTGACAGAAGTCTCTACAACAGCTATCCGAGAGTCCAGTCAGCTGGCTGAGGAAAATGTCAATGCCTCTACGACATCTAAAATCTTGTCTATCGAATAGAATTAGCCCTCGTGCAATGGAACATTCTGTTTTCTTACATCGTGTTTTCATGTAAATGTATCGGGGAAAGCTATCGAAGACACTGGTGACAAGGAAGTCGGGGAACCGTCGGAGATTTTATTCGACGTACATATTCCCTTGTCTGTCTCGAAACACACTCGAGTCGGTTCGCCGAGAGAATCGCGTTAATAATTCTCCTTGTTATCGATCCAAGTTACGTAAGGTGAATTCGACAAATTCGTAAGAAGCGTGGACATAATACAGAAGGACAACAAATCGGCGAATCTTTAAGGGATAAATCGAGCTAGCGACTTCAGCGCACGTTCCAAAGAGGTGCGGCAGAATTGCTGGCCTGAATACAAAATGAATAAACGGGTTAAATAACGTGTACCGCGCTCGCTCGTGTCGTAATATTTTAATGGTACACCCTCCCCTGTTTTCCCCTAACTAGTTTCGCTATACCATTCATCGTACGCACCGACTTGTGAAATTAAGCGATCCATACCAGAACATTCTTGTCGCACATCTGCTCGAGCGTGCACGATAGGGCACCTCGAAATAATGTTCTTCTCGATTAAAATTATCACGCTAATAAGATTCAGTGCGACCACTTCCCGCTATATAACATGGAGCGTATCAATCATGGTTAATTGATGTCTTTTCGCAAAATAAAATCAGGTACTTGACTCGAACGTGAGTCGAGACACGACCCAAGAATATTCGAATTTCTGCCGTTTGGCGCCACCGGCGCATCTCGCAAGCATTGGAGAATATTTGAATCTTTGCCTGAATCTCAATCACCCTCGTCGTGACATGATCATCGATAATCGAAGGCGCACGGTAGTTGATCGACGAAATGAAACACGAGGTGGGGAATGGCGCAGCACATCATAGCCGGAACACTATAGCACACCAACATGTGCGGTGACTGTGTAAACATTGTAAACACCGATCATGCCACACACAGTGGCTCTCACGTGAAGAAATTCTCCCGGCGTGTATCGTGAACTTTGACGAAATTTCGTGATACCGCAAGTCTATCGCGGTCACCGTGAGAAACAGATAATCCATCGCAATCGGTTAGCGCCATCGTTTCTACGCTCTTATGATCTCTCTCATGACCGCGTTCACCCTGCAAACGTAATAAATGATTTAGATACGCAGCACGGCAACGTAAAGTACCCCAATGGCCGTCAGACCAGTCTCTCATTCAACGAAAAGACACGAGCGAACCGCTCGCTGAGACCGGAGCGCATTTTTCATTGTATTACATTAAGAAGACATACACACGCACACATATACAGAGAGCGTGCGGAACAAATAGGTTGGCCGTGACTCACCGGGGGATAATCGAAGTCCGGGGAGGACGAGACATCCAGGATATAGTCGACTTTACTCTGATTCGCCGGATCCTCCAAAGTAACGGGTGGCGTTAGCGTGCTCATCGCGCCGGTTATCGTCTGAAAAGGAACACAGCTGATGATAAAAATTCTCCACGTGCACATAACCTATAAGCGTGATACCCCAACGATTGCCTCTACGACGTTGTCCGTCGCGAACGAAAAAGAAAGTGCATTCCTCGCGGTACTATGACTCGTGCAAAATTCCCACTTAACCCGTATCTATCTTTGCAGAGACAGATAATATGTCATTCATAATCCTTAAGTGCCACGGGGCAGCTTGTCTATTACATTCACCCGACATACGGAAGCGATTGCAAGGTTACAGACGATACGCGTATCTAAACACGGCCTCGAACGACAAATTGATGACAGCGCACCGCTGCTCTCCACGGCACGGCGTTAAACTATCGCGAATTTACGGGCGCATCACGTAACCTTAATGACGGGACGCCCGTCAAAACGGACGCGTTTACACACGCTCGTCTCATAGCGCGATTTCAATGGAAATCGTAAAACAAGATTTTTATCTCTGTCGACGTGGGTAAAAAGTTGTTCGATTTCGTGGCCCGAAACGGTTCCCTCATCGTGATACCGGTGGTGGTGTAGAAAACACCAACGCGTATCGATTTGGCTATAAATCACCGTGTTCCCAGAATACACCGCGTTTATTCGACGCGATTCGCGAATATTACCGCGAAAGGATATTTTCGGAGAAGGAAGCGTGTCGTATCGTTGGCCGCGACACATGCATACGCGACACCCTACATTGAACGATGTTTTAATAAGGTTGCTACCATCGTTGAGGCCAATCGTCTTGGAGAAACAGAGAAATAACATTGAGTACACATAAGCTACTTTATCTTCCGCTGTACACTTTACGCTTGTCCCGGCAAATGGTCCGTTGATTACGAGATCCGCGTAGCGGGAATAAAAATAAGCGCAAGGCATGGAGGGAAAAAATGTCGGACGGGGCGCGGGTGGCGCGCAAATTTGAAAGGGTTGTAGCGTAAAATAAATATCCAAAAGAAATTCTTACCACTATCGCATCTCTGATGTTCTTTTTGATGTCCTCGATTTTTTGCCGCTTTTCCCTGTACAGAAAAATTTAGAAACAAAGGCTGTAATTCGTTCGTCGATCTCCATCTCGATACAGCGATATTTAAGTACATCGTCGGAGCATCCTTAATATCGCGCGAAAGAAATAAACAAAGAAAGATGAAAAAAGTAAAAAGAAAACAATGACTCGATGATGTTTGTAAGCAAATATCGAAACAGCTTAGACTCGAATGATAGGTATACGCGCGTGTTTTCATTATTTGCGGTTTCCGAGTCATTCGGTAATTTTAGACCGCACGGCATCACGCCAGTTTTAGTATAACGATTTCGTCGATTTGGAGACACGCTGGAAATTTCGCGAATCTAATACCGGCGATCGATGCGCCGACTCCCGTCCACGAACGGTAACAACGGATAGATTTTTCATGTGGGCCTCGCTTCATGGTGATACCTGTGCCAGGCTCCTGTCGTCACTCGAACAAAGTTCAGCCGTTTAAGACTCTCGCGTATCGTGTACACGTACCATATGCGTACATTATAAAATGACGACAGTCGCGATCTAATACAGGTTCCCATTTTTATCGCGTTGTTATTCCGTTCGAGTTCCCTCCAGACAATACGATGTCGCGTATAGGCCGGCCGTGTAGCATCTGTCTCGCTCGTACGCTACTCAGACATTCGCCATTCCCTCTCCCATCCTTGTCCACCCCGTATTAAAGATATCCGCCGGCTATCCCTCAATTTTCGACGTTTCGAGCGTATGCGACCGCGGATTAAAAGGCTCGCGCTCTGCTACACGCGATATTCGAATACAAGAACGCTAAAAATAATCGAACAGCCGCCTACGCCAACAATTTTACCGCTTAGTTGGATTATACGTTAAAAGCTTCGTCTTGCTGTTTCAGCTAACCGTGTTCCAAAAGCTGCTACTGCAAATGTAAATATATTTACATAATTCTATTTGCTTAATTGCATCCGATTAAATTGCCCGCGACTATCGTAGTCCAGCCGAACGTGTATACGTAAACGCGATCGGGAACGAATTCGCGCGACACGAATTCGCATGCGTGCGAAACTCAGGGGCGGCAGAAGGTAGAACGGAAAAAGAAAGAGGCGAAAAAGGACTAAAAATACCGAGGTTGTACGGTATGTTTCCATAGTAAACAAGCGAAATCTGCATCAAGCGCGTCGGACACGTAATGCTTCTTAGAATCGCGTCGCTAACGAAAAAGAACCCGTTAAACTCGATAGAAAAAAATTTGCCGCGATTCACGGCGAAAAAATTCGGGCTATGGCGTCTCTATGCGCATGCGCGATCAGTCCCAGCCGAAACGAAAACGAAAAGGGGAACCGGGTGAGATGGAAGGTGGGAGGAGAGGGGAGGAGAGAAAACGGCGAATGAAAAAGAAATCACGGCAAAATGTAGTAATAAGGCGTACTTCGGGTCCGTTATCAGCGCCGGAGGCAGACAGAATTTACGACACACACGAACCGGGCCGAGCCCGTCTGTTTGCACGTCGTTCTCATCCTATCTAGTTGCTCCTGATTTTCCATGTATAGGTGTACCGACATTCTTTTCACGATAACGACTTGTTTCTGTCTGGTCGGTCTCGTTTCGCGACCGTATTTTTGATTCGTCCGCTGGCTTCCCGGCGCGGACAGCTGGACGCGAGAACTGATTGGCGAAGGGAGGGGGAAAGGTATCGAAAGCGAAGAAAAAGACTTGTGCATTAGAGGGATTTGCGGAAAAATCGCGATCCTAAAAAAGTTATCACGGTTGAGAGGATAATACACGGGGTGTATTGGGATCGAAAATAACGCTGAAGAAAATACGCCCGTTAAAAATAGCGCGAAAGGAAGAAAGTGGGTGGGAGGTGGGGGAGAAGATAGACAAAATGGCAGCTAATTTGCTGGAACCACGTGTTGATATTGCAATCACGCGATGGACCGAATTAATCGCGGGTTGAATCATTCACGAGTGCGTATTAATGAAAAGAAAAAAAAAGGACTCCAGGTTATGTACGAACGACGTTACCGTATTGCGTGAATAATATTGAACGTCGTATTGGCTTAAACGTAACGCTGTAACGGAACAACGAAACTTACGCTTCGCTGAAACCATTCACGTGCAATATCCTCATCTGTTTGACGATGGTGCTCTTTCCGGATTCTCCCGCTCCTAAAACATAAAAAATATTTCTTTCTTTTCTCCTTTCCTTTAAAAAGAGGAAGAAAAAAGAAAAAAGCATCGTGCAATTTTACATGTAAGTATGGAAAACGAAGGAAGTGGAGGTCAAGAGCAATCATTCGTGTACGTCTAGATATCGGTACCGATTTTTGTACATGATTGTCCATAAAGATATTCAACGGATGCATGAAATGCGGCATATTATCGTGTCTTTTATATGTGTATGTATATATTTTTTTTTTTTTTGGAAAACAGGAACAGGATCGTAATTGCACAAGGCAAGGGAAACAATACAGTAACAGCTGTTGCTTCGTAGCCTACAGCTACGAGTCGACTATACGCAACACACAACACACGTCCACACGTCGAATTAGAACGACGACCTACATAAACGAAGAATAGGAAGGTAATAGCTAGGTGTTGGGTTAAGTATCGCAATAAGTAGATGGTGTACATGCATGTGTGAGGGCGCACGCGCACACCCACGTTGGCCGACTATGTGAAAAAGACTCACTGGTCGGGAGAAGGAGAAGAAGGAGACGAAGAGAGCGACACGAAAAGGGTACAACATGAGCCAGCCAGCCCGCTGGATATTCGTGGGTGCCGGCTCATACGATAATCGATAAAATTGAATTACGCGCTGCTGAACATCGCGATAATGTTCGGCCTATCCTCTGACCGTACGCTTTTTGTCCAAAATTGGGGATCGAAGCCGATTCAACTGGTATTCTAGCGGAAATTTTCTCCGTTTCTGACACGTGTACATAGATATAGAGTGTACCGTATCTAAAAAAGATAGATAAAGCCGGAAGAATCTTTAACGGGACGAGAGAAAAGATTTTACGAGAAACATAACCGTAATTGTAAGATATCCGCGAAATAGAGGGAGCAGAAAAAGAAGAAAAAGTTTATACAGGGAGTTTACTTACCGAGCAAAAGGAGCCTATGGGTAGCCCGGTAAACTTGCTTATCCTTTTGCAATTGCCTGGTAATGGCATCCGAGCGCCTCTTCTGGTTCTTGCTGTCATCCTGACTGGCCTTACTGCTCTGGCTGCCGAAACACCCCATGACACACCACGAGAGAGACACGCGCGACTCACCCTCTTCGCTCTTCCCTTCCACTTCTGTTGTTCTCTGTTGTTCTCGGCGCAGAGAAAGACGATCTCACCACTATATTATTCCCGAGCGAGAGAGAACAGACTCGCGCAACGAGTCTACCGTCGGCGCGTGTTGTTTATCTCGCGTGAATGTGACGTTCGATAAGTATACCCTCTGGCACCGCGGTTCGTAGAGATTCACTCCCTTTCCACGTACACCTACTGCAAGTTCGTTCTTTCGTTTCAGCCGTGTCTGTCACTCGATACTTATCTATCACCGTGTCGCACTTCTCCACACTCAAGTTTCGTCCTTCTATCGAACTCTCTCTCTCTCTCTATCTATCTATCACCCTCTCTTTCTTTCTCTCCCTCACTCTCTCTTTCTCTCTTCCTCTTTCTCTCGCTGCTTCTCTTTTCCTCTAGTACTGCTTGGCTCTTTCTCTCTCTCGCTCTCTCTAACTCGTTCTCTCTCTCTCTTCCTCTTTCTCTCCTTTGCTCTGTCTTTCTCACGCGTTCTCTCTTTCGTTCTCTCTCTTTCTCTCCCCCCCTCTCTCTCTCTCTTCCTCTCTTTCTCTCGTGCGCTAGTCTTTCTCCTTTTCTGCCTGTCGCGCGTTTACTATCTCCGTTTTGTACACTATGAACAACTACGCGTATGTATATCTTGATGTCTTCTCAGTTGCACTCACACTCGATTCACTTCACGGCTTCTCTTTCACTATCTTGCACTACCCGCGAAACCATAGCTACACGCGATCAACGACAGTGCTGCTGGTCCAACACGCTGACTTCGAACGATGCCTTGTGCGTGTCAAGTACGAGTATATAGAAGAGATAGGATGAGAATGGCCCGTCCGAGTGTGGTCACTGAATGCC